GTGAAACCAAAAAAAAAATAAAAAAACCAAAAAAATTAAAAAGAAAAAAATTATAAAAAAAAGAGGAAAAAAAGCAACAAAAAAGGGGAAAGGTTTCTAAGCTGACGCTCCCCCAAGTATAAATTAAAAAAAATACATACCCCAGCACCTTCAAAAAAGGCACTGGCTGCATCTCCTGTGTTGTCCAGGAGATCATCACTGTCAATCTGTAATTAAAAAGATTTTAATTTACTTTCTGTAGGTACGGTATGGGGAAAAAAAAACCAAAAAAATGAAAAAAAAAGGCAAAAAACAACCAAAAAAAAAGGCGCGTGCAGTGGTGCCGGGCACCTCCCCCCCGGCGAGCGAGCTCTCAGCAGGGGGCAGCGGTGGGGCAGAATCCCTCCCCGCCCCCCGGCCTCCTGGCACCCCGTTTGGGCTCAAAGTGCCCCAAAATCCCGGCTGGCTGCTCCGCGCGGGGGGGGGGGGGGGGGGGTGGTCCTCCCCCCCAGCCGGGTTAAACCACGACAATCACTCCCACAAAGTGTCACTGATGCTCAAATGGTTAAATGTGATTATTATAAAGAATAAATAACGATGATTGGACCATATATTAACAGATAGAACTGAGAATGCAAAACCATCTGCATTTAAGTACACCATCAATATCTGTATCACTAAATGCCTACATGAATCAGACAAATGTTATTCTAATTTACAATCTTCTGCCTCTACAGTTACTTCTTTCTTTTTGCCCTCTCTTGTATGCCACATCTACATATTTTTCCCTCATCTCTCTATAAGAAAAATTAAGAATGGCCACTGCAGACTCCCTGTGAGGAAGCTTCAAGTTCCCTCTGATTCAGGATGAGAAGATGACACATTAGAGTTCCAAGCTAAGCTTTGGAAGCAAAGTTTTGTGACTTTATACCAAGGAAAGCAGTAGGTTGGCTGAGAATTCCAGCTGGCCTTGAAGGTCTTTCATTGACTTGTTCAAGTAGCTTTATGTCATTATCTCTTCTAGTTGATTTCTTTTTGTCTAATTTTCTCCAGGCCTTAATCCTCCAGTACGATTTTATTTATATGCTTCGTACTTCTGACTTTTCCTGTACTTATCAACATTTTTATCTTCTTTCCCAGCATTTATTCCTGCTTGATCCTTCACTGATGTTGTTACAAGCTCCCTTTGCTTTTTCCTTGCGCCATTTTTCCAGTTTCCTCTTTGCCATGTGATATGCTTTTTCACTACTTTTTCTGATACTACTTATAAGCTCTTTGTTTCAGCTCTGTCTTCCTTTGCAAGCTTCAATTACACCAGGTACCATGAAGCGCAGACCCTGAATGTTTCCTATGCTTCGTAATGAAAAAGAAACACTATGTAGAGTGAGCATTTATTCATGGGGGGGTTTCCAGTGGAATCCAGCTTGTGATAGTCTTTTGTTTTTCTCATCTTTCTACATTTAAAATAAAGTTCTAAAATGCTAGCTTTTAAAAACTAATTGTAGGGTTGTTGAGTTAAAGACTTTCCTCACGTAGGGTTGTCGAGTCCCTCATGTAGGGTTGTCGAGTCCAAGACTTCCCTCGCGTACGGTTATGAAGTCAAAGACTTCCCTTGCATAGGGTTGTAGAGTCAAAGACTTCCCTCATGTAGGGTTGTCGAGTCAAGGACTTCCCTCACGTAGGGTTGTTACGT